AATAATAATAATAATAATAATAATAATAATAATAATAATAATAATAATAATAATAATAATAATAATAATAATTAATAATTAATAATTAATAATAATGGTAATAATAATGGTAATAATAATAATAATAGTAATAATAATAATAATAGTAATAATAATAGTAATAATAACAATAATAATAATAATAGTAATAATAGTAATAATAGTAATAATAGTAATAATAATAGTAAAGATTACAATTTTGATTATTAAAAAATTACAATAAAAGGATCTCTTGCAGTATAGGTGATCCCTTTAATAAAATATATTATTAATCAATTGATTATAAAATGAGATTATCTATACCAGTGTAGTCACTGAAAGACCACTGAAAGTAAATCAATAGTGTCACTGGAACTTAAAGTTCCAGTGACACTATTGATTTTACTTCCAGTGACAACACTGATCTATACTAAAAGAGATCCCAATAAAAATATTTGAAGAATATTACCGAGACTAGTACATAAAAGAACCAATCTATAATATAAAAGTTTGTCCATGTTTGCCAATTATCACATGAGCCATCTTTTAAAGAAAAAAATTAAAATAATAGTATAAAAATAAATTAATTAAAATTATGAACCAATGAGATTCTAACCTGGCTTCTCAATATCCCAACAGCAAAACTTTTGATTTAACCACCAAGAATTTTTGCAATAGCCAAATTTTAGATCTGAAACCCATTCTGTGATAATATCAGTCAATGCAGCATTAAGACCAATTATTGCACCTAAATAACAAAAATAACAAGAAAATAAAGAGATATAATGTTTAATAAAATTAAATTATAAAAAATAAATAAATTAGCAAAACTACAGACCAACTATCGACACGACGATCCATGCTTGACTTGATTCGTAAGAAAGACGAAACCACGTGTTCCATGAAAACCTATTTTCTATAGCAGCACTTCGCAATGCATTCATTCTCGATCGTTCGTATATAGCATCTTGAACCCAATCTATAGTAATAAATAAAAATTATAAATTACAAATAATTATAGTCAGAATTAAAAATAAAAATATATTTGATAAAAAATATATATATATTACCAATTGTTGTAAAATCTTCGTATCTTTTAATTTCTTCCAATGCTTTATCATCTCGATTATTAAATTTTGCAGTTGTATCAAGAAAAGTCCTCCGTATTCGAGAGAAATTTTGATAATGCCGATTTGTACCACGAGTTTGTATAGGGGTATATTGATTCTGAAACGAATTCCATAAACTTGTATATTATAAAATATATATATATAATTAAGTATTCCCAATTAATTAAGGATTGGTTTTAATTCGTTTGATAAAATTTTGAATATTTTGTATACTTCATATATTATAAAAGAATCAAATCTAAAAATGTATTACCTAAAAACTTTAGATGTTAAGCTTGAATTTTCGGAAGCCATTTTTGTGTTCAATATACATATAAATCGTAAGTATATGGATTATCAGATACGCGGTTAAAAGAAATGCATAAAATATAAAATGATTCTTTATTTATATTCGACTTGACTCATAAAGTGATACAAAATCCGGTTCTCAGGTCTGGGTTAATGTAGTACAAATTACAGTAACTCAATGGGACATTTTAATAGTATGCACATATGTTGTAAGTAGAAAGTAGATTCGGAATTTTTATAACGTTTATTTGAAATTTATTTTAACTTGTATATTCAAAGTCAAATAACATATTCAAACCAATATTCCAAACAAAAACATATGCTCAAACAAACTAATGTTTAACCCAATATTAACAATATTAAAGTTCATCGTCATATATACAATAAAAAATTTTTGTAGATATTGTTAATTTGCAATAATAAAGTCCTAAGTCTAGTGCTAGGCATCAAGTTAGCATGTAACTATACATCATTTATTATTCGTAATATTTTTTACTGAAACTGGTTACGTTTTAAAAAGACCTTGTTGCTTCTTTTAAGCTACGCCTGATTTCTATATGTGATTGTATAGAATCCTTTATGACTATATATTTGTAATCACATCCTTTGGCATGTAATTTACTTTTACTCGAGGGAGAGATGCACAAGACGAAGAGATTGACATCTCGTATATGTTTATACGAAAATTGAAGCTAGATAGGTAGATCACACACTATTACTAAAAACATGATTATAAAGATGACAACTATACCATGTACAATAATTATTGCTTACTATTATTGTATATGTTACTTAGATGTAAAAAAATCTCTTGCAAGATTAGAACCTAATACAACAACCCTCGCCCATGATGTGGCAATTGTCGGTGTAACTGAGAAACATACCTAAAAATACTGGTAAAATGATACCAAATATTAAAGGAAGAAAAGTACATATATAATATACTGTTTTATTAGATCCTTATCTAATTGCTTGTACTCCCGCCCAAAAAAGCTAAACTCCGAAAACCATTGGATCTAAAGTCATAACAAAATATTTAATCGCAATATCGCTCTTTAAGATTACATTAAGAACATTAAATGTTGCGGTAACAAGTATAACAAGGGGAGCTATTATTAGATTTGTAAAAAATTTCTATTTTTAAGGTGAAAAAAAGTCGAAAAAAACTAACATAATATTAGTAAAATCTCATGAATAGATATGTATTATATGAACATACTCCTCTTTTCCGTTCTTCTCTTTTTTTTTTTTTATTAAGACCTTTTAAAAAAGCCTTCTTTGCTGAATTATCTAATCCATTATATATTTTAAGTTCATCTACGCTTAATTTCAGGTTTAAATCCTTACCTTCGATGGTAATAGCTAAAACAACATTGCTAATTATTAGTAAACTTGCATCAAATTGAAAATCAATGCAAGGCTAGTAATACGAATAAAGATCGAACAATTGACTAGTCGATTTAAAACCTTCGATTGTGTGGCCAATATTTACTAATATATAATAACCAGGGTTGGTCAAATCACTGGTCGACCAACAATTTGTTGGTCAAACTGGTCTGGTCAAATTGTTCAAATGGTAATAAATTATTTTAATATATAAAATAAATACATATATATATATACTTTATACGTATCATTTGACCACTACTAAACCCGGTCAAATTGGTCAAACTGGTCTGGTTAAGCTTGACCATTGACCGGTCCATGCCAACCCTGATAATAACAATATTTTTTGTAAAACTGCCTTTTACGTATGTTTGTTTTCAAAAGTTTTATTATAAAACTACTAATACTGACAGGTCTATTTTAACTAACAAAAAAAAAGAATTTTAATCGCGTGATACAAATTTTTAGAATTCTTAACGAAATGTGATAATCAACCCAGCAAAATTTTTACTGCTTGCTAAAAAAAACCACTTACTGTGTTGCTCTTCGGTACCGGCACCTACAATTCGAAAATAGTAATTGGTCGTCAATATAATCTGCAAGACAACTATTATTTGCTAGAACCTTGTGCTCCAGTATTAGTATCTTATACAACCATTAGTATAATCGGAGTAAACTAATCACCAATATTGCATTGTTGTTCATACTATCTTGTCCTTTTTGGGGATAATAATATTGATTATGTAGCACTAGTAAACTGTAAAATTGAAATTAATACGTAATTAATACACAACTAACGTTTTATTAAGGACTTGTGCTACAGTAAGCCACCAAAAAAAGTTTCGCTTTTTTAGGTTAGGGTTAGGATTTTGCTATTATATCTGTGTCTAAGAATGTTTCTTATTGCAAAATTTTACAGGAAAAGCTTTTGATTAATGCGCAGAAAGCAGTTTCATAGACTAACGTTTGGATTGAATTTTTCTGTTCATGTTACGTTACACCTTATCCTGAGATTTGATTGCCCATGAAACTTTCTGACATTTATGTGGATACGTAGTAGATTCATTAATTCGCAATATACCATGAAAAATCGTGTAACACAATGATTTCATTCTGTCATACATACCGCAAAAAATACACTATTCTACATTTTAAACCAAGGTTTCGGTATCCAAACGTTGAACCTAATTTCGGTTCAATTCTGGCTATTGAACCTAAAATTTAGGTCAATTGAAGCGAGAACCGGACATTCCTAAATTGCAGTTGAGTATGAAGGGCTTCAGTTAATAAAGACTGCGTAACCAAGTCCAAAGAAACCTGGTTTTCAAATTTGGATTATTTGGTTTTAAAATAAAAGAACCCATGCACCCACCGAACACATAGATGCTCTCCCCACTTAACTTCCGTTTCTACTTACAATATAATTGATAAATTTATTATCTACAAGAAAAATTGTTAAAACCGAACATTTACATAAAATACCATCTAGTCGGATTCAATGGACAAAAAAGCTGCTGTATATTTTGTTAGGCAGAGTTCATAATAAAAGATCACATGAATTACACATATAAATAGTAATTTAAAAAATAAAAATTGCATTATTTGTCACGTTGAGCATTTTCTGAAGGAATTTTATACGACAGGGTGAAGCCCGCGACAGAAACTCGCGAGAATGGTTACGTTATTGATGCAGGTCACAATCTAAGATAATAACTAACCCATCACTAACCCTAGCTAAGATTTGCATCAATAATGTAACTACCTCATAAAGTTATTTAGGTATTTATACATGTAACTTTTGAAACTTCTAACAATATATACATGTCTTTTGGCTTTAGTAGTATTAAGAAGGTTTATAAAAACTACTACATCGATATCAGTTAAAATTCATTAACTTATTTCAATTCACTACATATACTTAGTTACCTAACATTAATTTGAATTAATCTGGTTTATTTTTTACCATCTTATGTATTTTTTCTTTTCTTGATAATAGGAAATTTAATACCGTAGCATTCAAAGTGGCATTCATATCTACAGTTAGTAATTCACTATCCCTTTAACCATTTTGCAACTTTTTGATCAAAATTGTTTTTGCTAGTACAACTTACGTAATTTATAATGTTAGACCCCATAATAGATCCCATAAGATTATTACCGGCCGTTCTACTTGCATAGATATTTTAGCTGATACCCAATCATAACTGTTTTTAATGGCGCCTTACTTTTATTTTCTCTTTAGTTTGGTGAAATAACCCCTGCAATGTCATGTTCATACATCACTCAGCCAAATTACGAGATGCTACCAGGTGTCATTTATTGCAATTTCTAGACTTGATTAGATCATTTAAACATATGGGGTCTGTACCTTGAAAATGACGTTATGGAACATATTAATTACTATGTCCCATAACGTCATTTTCTAGGCACAGACCCCATTTGTCAAATTTTTGCAGGCAAATTAGCTTGGGGTTAAAGGGATAATCAATTTCCTGGTCATATCAAGAATCTTTTCTAAAATAGCCGATTGACCAATATGAGAGGTGGGAATTTAAGGATTCTCTAATTGATTATTAAATTTGTTAATTTCTATAGACCTCTGCAGATTATGATGACAAATCACAGGAAATTAAGCGATTTTCCTTATTCCGAATATAGATCATCGCCATGAGGTCACACCCAGTGTGTGAAATTCAATGTTCTCGAGAACACTAATCAAATTTTAAGAACATAACTTATTAAAATATGTCTTTATCTGAGAATATTAAATAGATTTTTTTGATATTATACAGATTCAATTTTTCTATATTGAGAACCATTAAAATTTTTTTAGGACATTAAGGACTTAAAAAATGTTTTCAATGAGGACATAAAGTCAAAATTGAATTTCATACACTGGTCACACTTTTTTGCAAACATTATATAATTATTTATAATTATTATCGTTATTGTTATAATATCAATATAATTGATAATCAATCAGAGATCTTTAAGTTCACTGATTTTTTTATATAAAAAAATCAAATGCTGGTGGCTTGTAATGGTTCGGAAATCGATAAATCCCGAATAGCCACATTAGGTTAGCATTAGCTATCTTTTGTCGAGATTCCGTTTGTCGGGATTCTATTTTTCGGGATTCCGTTTGTCAGGATTTTTGATTAAGTGTATTACGAAAATTACATTTTCACACCATGAAATTTCGGTAAATTAATGTTCTCATGTGGTCTATCAAATAGCACCACTATTTGGTGTTTAAATGACGAAATTGATTTAATTCACCGAAACTTATCGTTACACGAAATCGAAATTAGTCAAATACATAAAATGCGTTGCGTTCTTTTACAAGGATTACAAATCAAAAATTAGATTTACATTTAAGCATTGTTCTGATAGGTGCCGTCATTCAAAGATATCCAATATCTAATTTTGATCAGCGCTAACTCCCATACAACTAGGGATGGGCAATGTAATTTTTTATGTAATCGATATGTATTTTTTTAGGCCTTACATATTTTATGAATTATTACATATTATTACATAATTTTTAAGAGTAATAGATCACTTGATAAAATTGTGAGGAACGAACATGAGGACGTACCAACGTGAGCTTGTACATCATTAAGAGTGTTCAAAAAACAAAGTTAATGATTAATGACATAATTTCTCATTATTACCTATTGCAATAAAATCTTAAATAAGAATACATAAGAAATATGTAAAAAATTTGCCCATCCCTACATACAACCTCTAAATTGGGTCAGCCACCGATGACGATACGATTCCCCAAAAGTTATTTACACTTACCCGACATCACATAGGGTGACAAATTGCCAAAATAGGGCGGAGTTAATATATGATTTACACACTGCATAAATTACATTCTTGATATTCTATATAACCCACTAACTAACTGCATCACAAAGGTAACTCTAAAACTCGCTCCACTTTAGCCAACCACCAATCAAATGCTAACTCTAACCCTATGTGATGTCGGGTAAATAACTTTTGAGACAACCATGGAATACCGCCTCGTTTGTAGATCTTTGCAATCTGTTCGGTTAAGCGTAGTTCCGATGGCAATGTAAAATAATTTTACCAAGTTAACAACATTGTCGTAGACCATAGACCGCACACAATCCTAACGATTCAATAAGCAACTAATAATATTATTAAGTCAGGATTGTTATAAAAAGTTTCACCAAGAGAAAACATTTACTATATAATATATATCTCTTTAGCTTTGTCAATATCTATGACATGACCAGAGAATCAATCATCCACGGTAATTGTCAATTATATTACGCATGAACTAGAAATTTACTAGTCTGTTTGCACTTTCAATATATTTAATTTCTTCAAAACCATTTAAATAAACAATTTTTAATTGAACTTCTTCAATTGGAAGCTATAAAAAAAAAATAAGAATAAAAAGCAATTGTCCGAAAAATGAATTATTAAAAAAATAATCTTTGGAAAATTCATTTAGAAAACTTTTAAACAGTGAAGCACTATATGGTTCATTTTTTCATGATAAAAATGATAAAAGTAATCTGATCTTACGATTTGATTAGATTAGTACTTAACAACAAAGACACGTTAATCAATTTACCAAATCACATGTAAAAATAAATACAGAAAAAAGGTACGCCCTCCCCTGAGTTGAAAGTAATTTCTATTGCCATGTGAAATTCACATATTACTATTTGGATATTTTTTAATCACATGATTTACCATCAATTAGGTCGACTAAAAGTCATGAAGTATTACCCAATCAGAAATAAACCACGGCGCTAACACTATTGTATACAATTTCTTACACTGCAGTAGTGGTTATTTTTGCGTGTGGGCTGTATGCAGCGCGAAAAACAATTTTTGCGCGCTTTCTTTGAACAGATGCACAAGAAAATTACATTTTGTAAATAGTCAAATTGTGACAGTAAGGTTCAATTAAAAATTAACGCATCAGTGCAATTAAATTAGTGCTCCATTTATTTAATGCTTAATTAAATAATGTTTTTAAAAAATAGTTTGATTTATTTTCATGTATAATAAGAAATACTTTATTCTAGCTCAGTAACAATATACTTTTTTTTATAAGGATACTTAGTTTCAGTTAAAAAAAAAAACATTAGCTTACTTATCCTAGTTACCATGTAAAAAAGGTGTATCCTATGGCTAGAGAAGTGTTTTTGACAAATAACTTGCAAAAACTCAAATAAATTAGAAATTTTATCAAATATTGGTTTTTTTTTAAGCAAAAACTAACTAGATAAATCCTGTTATTTTTTAATTTAGACTTCAAAATTCACGTTGAACAGCTCGAAGAAAACATGAAAAACAATAAAAATAACAATACACACCTAAATACAACTTGTTAATTATTTAACCAGTAATAAATAATAGTAACATTCTTAGAGATTATTTGGATTTCTGAGAAAGCCGGAATCAAAAGCTCAAACCTTTGGTTAGAATATTCTCAGAAAACGTTGGATATTCTCTAAGTAACGATATTGTATCTACGAGAAAAAAAAAAACCAATGCAGTAGTATGGGAAAAGTAATTATTATATACCTGTTTTATTTGTTTTTCCTGCGCGTTTTAAGATTAACGCGTATTTGACATCAGAATTAGTGTTAGTCACGTGTTAAACCAAATTAAATGTTCTTATTGGTAGATTGGCAAAAATTTGATTGGCCAATATTAATGATTAACTTTGTCACTAGACTATCGTTAACTTTGTTTTTCTAACAATGTTATAATGGCTTCTGATAAAAAAAAAAATCGATCTCATATTATATAAATATGGTGCTCATAGTCTATACTTTATCTAAGAGATTTTAAAAAAATCTGACCGGTAACTTTATATCTTTTCAAAATCTCATCACTGTAAAGAGTTGATGTATAAAATTTCAATTTTCAAATCGCATCAACTCTTTACAATAATGAGATTTTGAAGATATTTGGTACATATGTAAAGTTAAACAAAAAAAGAAGTTATAGCCATTTAAAAAATTGAAACACTTCGTATAACTGTTGAGTATAAACTACCAGCACCATATTTATTGGTCAAAAACATATTCATTATTATAATCAAATTTTTTTTTTTATTATATTTCTTATGTCAAATGAGCTACATTATTGACAAGTACACTATTGACAAGTTTGATAAATTATATCATATATATATATATATTAGAAAAAACAATTTAAACAATACTACAGTAATGAAGATAATAATTGATACGTACTAAAGTCTATACTATTTAAATATATACCATACAAAAATAAGCACCAAATTAAAAATTAAAAATCTAACTTTTCATCCATAGAAATAAGCCACTCAACAGAATCTTTGATAATCTTATCTGCAGCAACAGGGTCTCGTAACATAGCATGTTCACAACCTTCATATAAAATTATAGATTTCCAATCTTCTGGTGTTGAAGCTTGTTTATACATGTCTTTGGTTCCATTACAATCTGTTGCTCGATCATTTATACCATGTTGTGCTAAGAATGGTTTCTTTATTTCTCCAAGATTTTGCCCTAGCCATATGATATTTCTCCGTAGTGCTAAACCAGTAGAACATCGTAAATTTCCACTATATGTCATTGGATCTTCTTGAAATTCCTAAATAAAATAAAATAAGATAGTATAAACAAAAATAAAATAAAAGATGAAACATAAAAAGTGCCAACATTTAAAGTATAAAAACAAACGCAATAACTTTATCGTTATTAAAACACTATAGTATATATTTACCTTTTCTACTTCAGGATCACTGCTAAGTTTACCACGATGAGCAGCGACCAATGGCAACCGTCCGAGTGGAGTTTTAATCAAAACCTTTGCTATAATTTCAGCAGCTTTACCAGGTTGACTTTCAGAAGAAACATAGATAAGAGGTGCTAATACATTAAATGCATCAAAAGTTTCAGGATGTTTTATTGCATAGGTTAAAACAATCATTCCTCCAAGAGATTCTCCAATTAAGATTGTCTTTCGTCTTTTGTTTACGAGAGCATTTTGTTCCTTTACATGATTAATGACAAGATGAACCGCATCGGTAAGTTCTTTAAAGTCTGAAAAATATGCATGTAACCCACTAGACCTCCCAAAACCAGGTAAATCTAATGCAATAACACGAAATCCTTGTTCTAAAAATGGTTTACAAACTTCGGCAAAACGACCCCCATAATCATTCAAACCATGAATATAAAAGACATCTACATCACGTATTAAATTTGCCGTTGGTAAAAACCAAGTTTGATAATATATAAATTTATTGCCATTACTATTATATGGAAATGGAATTCTAAATTCTGATTGTACATAAGGGTCTGAACGTAAAACTCGTTCTGATGGAGTTACTGGAATTGAATCTCTTCCATATGTTAAATCTTGAACAGGTGTTTTTAAAACTTTTAAAACTGGTTCAACAAATCCATGACTAAGTGTATTACTCATGTTTTGAAGTGGATACCAAGAACTTTTTTTCCCCCTTACTTCTGACATCGTTATGGTTTTATAGTGTAGAATTTGTTAATCCTTCTTTGTGTCCGTGATCCTTTATCAAATTTTGTTATTGATAAGCAAAGCAATGATTTTTTAACGTTTGAATAGGTAGTACAAATTTAATAGAAATTGTCACAATGCAGCAAAGATAGTTTCACATGCAAACCTAAAAGAATCAATAAATAGACTGTACTTATGGTAGTTCAATGTTAAAATTTAGTAATTTGACGAGCATGATCCTGTGATCTGCGATCATAATCAACTCCTTTCAACTATACCGTGAGATATCTTTATTAAACGTTCGGTTAGTATTCATGCAATCAATTGGGTTTTTTAACATTAATTAAATAAAAATTACATTTGTTTTAACATCAGGGTAAATCGAAAATCTTAATAGTTTATTCATTGCTAATACCTTTAGTTTTGTCAAATTATCCTATGTATAGATTAATAAATATTAATACTAACACTAAATAAATAAACGTTAATTCATTACCTAATTGATTAACTAATTTTCATCAAAAACGTGTCCATAATAAACCGGTAGCAATCACTTCATTTAATCACGTTATATGATGGCTTGTCGGTAAAATGATTGCACCCGTAATAAACTAGTATACTTATTTTTGATTATATAAAATTTTAGACCGAATCTTAATAGTGATAGTTCATTTGCCGATACTTATTTATGGAACAAATCATAAGCATTTGTTGAAATTTTAAAACAACGGGGCATGACATCAAAATGAATATATATAACATATATAATCAAGATCTGCAAAAATTAAACCGAATATTTTAATATCGGTATTGTTAATATCTGATATGTATTTAACATCTGAAACTTTGCTCTATAATTGGTCTTCCAAAAAATTATTTGACATAAAAAAAAAAAAAATTCATTATTAAAATCATAAAATTATCATATGGGGGTTTTTTTGGAATCTTTTTACACGTTTATATCTCTTTATCAATACGCACTGTTTTAAACAAAAGCAAGGTATTGGTGATTTAACTAGTTAACTTCCTGATTTTATATACCAAAATAATAAAATAATACAAATTGATATTGTTCCTGCTAATATAATCCTATCTCTGGTTTTACGTGAATTAATACGACCTATTAGGTTATTAAGACCCGGAAAAAGATCTATAGCATACAAGAATTTAATTAAAATCAGATGTATAATCATTCATTAAAAAAAAAAATATATATATATATATATATAATGACATACTTGTGAGTCGATTCATTCGAGCATTAACATTTAATAATATATTTCTTTGTCTTCCCATTTCTTCTCTTGTTTCATATGCTTGCCTAGAATTTATATAATTCATTTTAATCAAAATTTTTCCATAGATCTACTAACATTTGATCTTAATTTTTTTTTTTTGTACAACGTAATTCCAATTATCAATGACAGCTTACTCGATAACCATGTCCGTCATTCTATGCGAATTATCAATTCGATTTCGTTCACTTAAAAAATAATCCGTTTCACTACTCATTCCGGATTTAAAGGAACTATAAAATAATAATTTAATCAGTAATGTGACATTAACAATATATTCAATTTTCCTATACAAACCTTATATCATCTCTTACAGAACTTAACAAATCTGAATGATTTTTTGCTGCTTGGATATTTGCCTAAAATACATAAATGACTTCAATCTCCGTTATATAAAATATTAATGTAAATTTTCATTATCATAAAGATTCGAGTTCAGATAAGCTTTTTTTGGTCTAAGAATTATTATCTATTAATAAATGATATGCTTCCTCTATCAAATTTTCAAAAATTTCGATCGTGCTTATCTGAGTGAAAGGATAAAATTTTGTTGTTTGTACCTTGGTTTTTTTAAAATCCTTTGAATAATCATATAAAATATCTCTATGTCGTTGCAACATATGCATCATCGATGGATTTGTAGGTGTGGTTGAAGGTCTATCTACAACTTCCGCCATGGAATTTACTACCAAAGTTAACTAATAAAATTAAATTAATTTTATCAATAAAATAAATGTTTGACAATATAACCGCCTATTATCAATAAATGCTACCTTTTTAATTAACTCATCTAATTCCAATTCCATAGCCTCACTAGAATTCCCTACTAAACCATCTCCATATAAATTCCCTTTATTTCCGGGACTAGGACTTATATTTCTCCCTACTTGCGCTGCAAGTTTAGAATAACTATTTAATTTCTGCTCTATCTCATTTTCCAACTGACGGGCTTGTTTTCTTAAAAATTCCCAGGAAAGTTGCTGAACTGGCGTTGTTGAAACGTCTGTTGAGGAAATATTATTTAAAGGATTAAGTAAAGTTGCTGGAGAAGGTGAGCCAGGTGAAAGTGTATTGGTACGGATCATGGCTTCAAGATGGCTTTACAACTGAAAAATGTAAAACTTGTAGTTTATCGATAATAAAAAAATTCATCCACGTGTTTAATTGTTCTGCGCCAATGTGATACTAGTAACATTTTATGTAAAGAACTTGAGTTGCGACATACGTACGTATAATGGGCCAGTTTTGGCATCACCGACATCGCCGACACCAGATTAATTATTCATGCTAGTAAACTTAGTTAACTGTGCAATATTATCGTTATGCATAATCACGGATTAATAAAACGTCTAACGCTAAACTTATCCTGACATTAACGCTAAAAAAAAATTTGAATTGGAAAGAAATATGTGAATTTGATTGGTCAGTTAGGTCACGTTGGGTTTATCAAATAAGACACCCTTTTTAGATTATGATTCGACGCATATCGAGCTTTCTGAAATTATCGATATCGGATATCGGATATATTTAATGCCCGGAATGCCGTAAATCATAAGGATAAAAAAAAGAATTTTCTATCATACTTTCCGAGTCGCGTTGTTTTTATTTTGATATTAAAAAAAATAATCGATATTAAAATAAAATGACATCCAATAATAAACGAGTGCACCCTTTTCTTTATGCAGCATTCAAATATAAAAAAAGAATTTTCTGTCATATTTTTCGAGTCGCGTTGTTTTTATTTCAATATTAAAAAATAATCGAAATTAAAGTTCCCGTAAAAATTCCTACTGCAAAACAAGATTCTCTCCAAAAGGTCAGTATTACAGTATTAAGACATCTATTAAGGCTTATTTGTTCCAGAACAAGTAACCTGTTATGTACTTTCCTTAATAGATATATACTGAAACATTTTATTCTTTATTATTATTAACTTACTAACTGAAATTCAAAACATAATTTCAATGAATGTTTATTAGGTAATTATATTTTGACGAATTCAATGGCCGCAAGTACTCTTATCTGAAGTAGTGACCTTACGTAAAGTATGGCCTAAATAGGAGTTTGATGCTCTAGAACATGGACCAAGCAAGAGCATGACACTCTAGAACATGGAATAAAATGTTATAGCACTTCTTGGTCTTTCTTGGTCTATTGTACAGAATTCTTTTCTGTATTGGCATCTAGAAAGTGCCTAGTTGGCTATTAATATTATGGCTTGATAAGTTAATGATGGTTATAGTGTTGGTAGGCGAAACCTAAGAGTTTCGCCACAGACGAAAGGCGAAACTAGTTTCGAACTTTCGGCAAAAAAAAATCAAAATGGTGAAAGGTGGCGAAACTATTAATAGGTGGTAAACCTGAAAAAAAATAGTAAATTTAGTAAAAAATAGTAAAACTAGTAAGAATAGAAAGGTAATTAAAGAAAATTAAAGTATATATATATACTTAATAGCATATATTATTTATATTTTTCGTTCAGAAATCGGTGAGTCTGTCACTAATCTAATCCAATTCTTGCGTAACCTACGGCGGCTAAGTCGAAATAGGCGTGTTAGATTTGGCTGATGGGTTCTTGTCCATAGGTAAGTACTGGCTTCCTTTTGAGCCTTAAACCTGTTCTTTTACTAACTCTTGTCTTTTCTTATACCTCAACCAAGGATTACACTACGTCAAATCGGAGTTAGAACTCTTCTCCTTGTGATGTAACTTATGTCACTAGTCTCAGATCACGGATTTCAACTTTACCAAGGGTTTCGCCAGAGTTTCGCCTTTCGCCGGGTTTAGTTCGTTTTTCGCCATTTGCCAAAAATAGTTTTTCCTGCAAACACTAGATGGTTAGTTGGTCTAGGTTCAATTTTGCAAACTTAAAAACTTGTTTTTTATATATAAAATCTAGGTTAAACCCGGAACCGATTTCCAGAACCTGGTGTTATGAAAAATGACGACATAGTTAGTTTAATATTATACTTTTGTTCTTATAACGTTATAGTAGCTTAGCTTATATTTACGTAATGCTTAAAGGATAATATGTGTGCTGTAGAGCGAAAAGCTAAAAGTGAATATTTAAGTTCTCATCATGGCGAATTTAGCCCTCAAAGAACTTTGATATTACGTACTGGTAAACAATTTTTGATAGTTCAGTAACAATAACAATAAGTTCGTACGAAATTTTATTAAACAACTAGAACACTGATTATATACATGATTAATTACGTAACATCAGAATTCACAAGACTAAATGGATTAAACTCATCATGATGAAAACTTAAATATTCGCTTCCAGCTTTCCGCGCTGCAGCACTCATATAGTTATTAGATCGATGATTACGACGTTTCTAGTAACATTACAAATTATAACTACATTTTGTATAAACTAATTTGAGTCTAATAGAATAACTATAAATAGGGTTATTCATTGCAAATAAAAACAGACTTTCTCTTTCGCTCAATTAATATAAATCGATCTTTTTGCTTACACTAAACATTTTAATGTTTACGACCAGGGACTAATTTGGCATTACGATTGGAAAATCTTTCACTTGTTGTAACACTGGTTCCAAATCATAGGAAGACATTCGCCTGATTGGCTGATGTAAATCAATTATCCGGATAACTTATTCATACACTTTAAAGTGCTTTTTTGGAACACGTTTCACTAATAAGAAATCACCAAAAAAAGAAACATTTTTCGCTTCGATAAAACGTCTATGTTCACTATGCAAAAATAATCAATAAAAGTCGGTATTTTCACGAACTTTACTTAGATGTTTACCGTTTATTGGGCCATACCAAATTATACTGTATAATGAAGGTAACTGGAAACGTTTTTTATCTAAAACTATTTTATTACATAAGATTTAACTATTAATTTTTGAATAGGTCAAGCTCTTTAGTAGTATATAATCAGGGCTTAAGATTAGATTGGGTCAGTTCTTGTAGTATATTTGAGTTTGTTAATCATAAATTAACAGTTAAAGTTCTTGTCGGAGTTTATTAGCAATAATATTACATTTATTCACTTTACGCATATCTATCTATTCTCTAAATATAAATAATAAACTTTTTGTGTATATTTATTGTGACAGTTGAAGCCGAGATCGGCTAAAGCTGAGATTTTAAAATATTTCAATATTAAATTTTAAAATTTTTGGGTTTTTATTGGTTTTTTTTTGAGTTGGGTTAGGGTTTAAGATCGGTCCAGTCTCAGTCCTAATAAAACCGGTTCTAATATAACTATCGGTCTGGTCCGAGTGGTCCCTGGTCTCAAAATAAACTATTTTTACAAAAATAGTTTATCATTTTTAGCCATCGTTATCAAATAAAATTCATGAAATAGTAGTTTTTAACTATATAAAAGATTAATTTAATAGTTGATTATTAACCAATCTGAACTAATTAAAAGATTGAAAACTGAAAGACCTTCAATTAACCAAAAAGATCAGTTCTTCTCAGGACCATCCAACCTTAGTTAATTGGTATATAGTGAATTAGTACAGTATAGTAATACAAGTTAGTATGTATAATCATTTAAAAAAAAAATTATATTCAAATATATAATTACATATTTAGTACATGATTGATTTGATTCAATGCATAATTTTAATTAAATATTTAGTATATTAGTAATTAATTTTATAATGATTCTTATATTTGTCGAATAAATTTTTTTTTATAGTAATAATCTACTTTTTGCTTCAATTGTTACAAATATAAATAATATATCTGATATTGAAAAATTTTAGTTTGATAAAATAAATTTTAAATTTGAACAAGTATTATAAAAGTATTTTTAAATATAATTATAAATATATAACTGTTTTATAAAATTAAATTTATTATCAAGAATCAGAAACAAAATCATTGGTAGAAAAATTAATTGATAATAAAGAAATTTCAGAAAAAGTTTGTTTTATAAACTAGTTTTATATAAAAACTATAATTCATTCTAATATATCTGTAAAATATCTGTTTATTTTATCAAAAAATATTATAATAATCTTTTATATTGCAAATTAAACAGTTCCGAATTATATATAAAAAAATATAATTTTTTTGATTTTTAAATAAAATTAATTTATATATAATTTATAATTAATTTATATTATATTTATATACAATATTCTATAAATTGTAGTAAAGTTTATTTGATTAAAAAATTACTATATATTGATAATATTCAAGCATACAAAGAAGAATATGATTGTAAAAAATCAAGATTTGTCAATTTACTAATTTTTTGCTTACAAGTATTGAATATTAAAAGTTAATAATAAATTATTATTATAAAAAAAATATTAAAATCAAGATGATAATTTTCAAAAAACTCATACTTATATATAAATATTTTTTAATTTTTAATAATAAATATCTAAAATTAAAACCTATTATTTTATATTTAAAATATATTTAGTTATTAAAAATATGTCTTACAAATTCAAATATAATAATAAAAGTCAATGTTCTAACAAGCCAATTTTATATAAATTATATATTTTTTAAGATTTCTAAAATATATATTAATGGTTTATTGATTATTTAATATATTATATTGAAGATCAATAATATTATTTTTTTTTTTTTTTTTTTTTTTTAACCTTAAGCAGTTACGCTAGTACTTTATTAAGATTCTTGAAACTAAATACAT